CCTAGTAATCAATATTTCAGTAAATGGCTTGATTTTATTGAAATGCCACTCCTGTTCCTTAATCTTCCTCCTAGATTTTGCTTTCTGCCTACCCTGTATTATCTGTTCCTACATTTGCTCTTATCCTCATCCCTTGCTTATAATTAATTTTCTGTGGGTTATTCTTTGTCTTCTGTAGTGTGTATGTAGGCATTCCTACAATATTTTTCTCTTTTTTTTGAGTTGAAGTCTCACTCAGTCGCCCAGACTGGAGTGCAGTGGCACACTCCGGCCACTGCAGCCTCGACCTGCTGGACTCCGGCTATCCTTCTACCTCAGCCTTCCAAGTAGCTGGAACTACAGGGGCGCGCTACCACGCCCGGCTAATTTTTTAAAAATTTTACTGTAGACATGAGGTCTCGCCAAGTTGCCCAGGTGGGTCTTGAACCGGCAGGCTCAGGCAATCCGTTCACCTCAGCCTCCCAAAGAGCAGGATTACAGGCTGAGCCACCGAGCCCAGCTCCTACAATATTTTTCTAAGCGACACTCACTTTTCCAACTGTCACATCTTTTATGTCCCTAATACACGCCTCCTGTTTTACCATTGCGTCTTCAATTCTGGCATAACTATTTTTGAGAACAAGGAACAATATTGAAAGTTGACGACTGTATGCTTGCAGATTTTTTCCTCCCGACACCTAGTGGCCAAGTCAGGATCTACAACATGACGTAAGCATATCTTGGTTTTTCCTGTCTGTAGACCAAGTTTAAAATATGTTGATATTACCTAATTAATCTCAATAGTTGTTCCTTTATCTAATATTTCAGTTATTTTATTTCTTTTGAGTCGGAGTCTCACTTTGTCACCCAGGCTGGAGTGAGGTAGCACAAGCACGGCTCATTGTAACCTCCACCTCTTGGGTTTAGGATTACAGGCGTGAGCCACTGTGCCTGGCCCTGTCTTGTTAGTGCTTTTTTGAGTCAGAGTCTTACTCTGTATGTCTTATTTTTAAGGATCTGCATGTTGGCATTTTCTGTATAAGTTTAGGCACTAGTCCTGCTTTGTGTCATTTTTGTCCTTAGCTTTGTAATCTTTACCCTATAAACACCATTCTAACATTTATATTACCACTAATTTCAGATTTTTGTCTTACCATTATAAAGCTATGCATTTATTGACATAGCAGTAATTCCATGGAAGAAATGTTTTTTGTTTTTTGTTTTGTTTTGAGTTGGAGTCTCACTCCATCACCCAGACTGGAGTGCAGTGGCTGCTCCCGGCCACCACAGCCTTGACCTGGTGGGCTCCGGTGATCCCTCAGCCTTCTGAGTAGCCGGAATTACAGTCATGCACTACCATGCCCGGCTGATTTTTTTTTATTATTGTAGAGATGAAGTCTCGCCAAGTTGCCCAGGCGGGTCTCGAACCTGCGGGCTCAGGCAATCCACTGGGATTACAGGCTGAGCCACCGAGCCTGGCAGAAGAAATATTATGCATATATTATCAATAATATTGATTGATTCTAAAAGATTATTAAATCCCACTAAATTATAAGTAGTGTTTGAGTAACAAAAATTTTTCTTAAATCTTATTCATTCAGAAGCAGCTATTAGTTACCAAAGAGGCATTGGCAGGGTTCTTAGCTCCTTGCAGGAGATGGAGTTACTGTCATTAATTTTTCTCATCAGTTTGGGAGGCAGAGAATTTTTTCTTGAGCACATTCACTGTCAGTCTTTTCCCTACTGTAACTACAGCTTATTTTTTTCTTTTCAACATGTTTCATAATCAGAGTTTATGCTTGCTGTTACTGAAAATAACTAGGCTACTGAACTACATTGGCTTGTTTTTTTCTTTAAGGACTACATCTTTCAGGATATTTACTATTTTGAGCTTTGAAAATAAAAGTATCATCAAATAGTAGCTGTTTTCTACAAAATAATGCAACTCAATTAAAAGTATTTTTGAAAACCTACTGTTTGTCTTGCTAATGAGCTTCAAGTTAATATTTACTGATCTGTATCCTATAGAGTTCAGTTTCAGTATTTAATTTTGGGGGAGTTAATACTTGGTTACCTCTTTATAGACAGAAATCATCATATTGTTGTTCTTTTTTTCCTGATAAAATATTTTGACCTTGCCTTTTGTTTTTAAACCCTTCAAATTGCACATATAAAAACACTTTAACTTAGCAGCCTCAACTAACGTCTGAATATCCATAATTCAGTCTTTATGATGTCTTACAAACCTAACCGGGCTAGTTTGTTCTTTCCAGGATTTAAACTTTTTTTTCCCTGGATGTCTTGGTGTTTTTATTGAGGCCAAAACAATTCAGTTTTGTTCTGTTTTTCCTTTTGCTCTTAACAACATAATGCCATAGAGGAGTTAAAGCCTCTGCTCCAACCCTTGCCCCATGAAATTGAGAGGTCAATAGAATTTTTTTGTCTACCAAGTTAGAGGGTAAGCTATTAGAAATGAATTTTGTTTTGTTTTGCTTTGTAATCACTGTAGCTAGCTGTCCCTTTCTGAATATTAGGCTTGGGGTTATAATTATATTTTTTAACTTTTTAAATTATTATAACCCTAGAGGCTACATAACTTCTAATCATCTGTAAAGGAGAAACTAAAAAAAATTGTAACTTTCACCAGCTTTCATTTTAAGGCAATGTTAGTTTTGGAAAAAAACTTGATGTTGAAGTTTACTATGGTACTAAAAAAAGCTCAAAGTTTTTTTTTTTTTTTTTTAGAAAGCAGGATTTATTGAGAGGACAGAAAAACTCCCACAGTGGGAGGGGACCTGAAGGGGTTGCCCCCAAAGTTTTGATTATGTCTTTTTATCTTGAAAAGCAACTGTCTTGTAGGGATTCCTAAGGCCTAAGTTTGTTCTGGCCTGCAAAGCTAGATGATTTTAAACTTGGCACCACCTAAGCTATTTCCCAGGGGTTTATGAAGACTGATGAAAATACTTTTATTATACCGGCACAATACAAAAAGTAATACTTAATATTATTGATATGAAAGATATTTTTAAAAATTCTGAAATGATCTTAGATACATTGCTCCTGTCCTAAAAATCTTCCTTTTTACTTAACTTTTTCTTCATTCATGTAGGTATTAAGATAAGCTACTAAGTTTTTTGTTGTTGTTGTTTGTTTGTTTGAATTGGAGTCTTATTTTGTGGCCCGGACTGGAGTGCAGTGGCACATTCATGGCCACCACAGGCCTCGACCTGCTGGGCTCAGACAGTCCTTCTACCTTAGCCTTCCAAGCAACTGGAACTACAAGTGTGCACCACTACGCCTGGCTAGTTTTTAAAAATTTATTGTAGAGACGAGGTCTTGCCATATTGCCCAGGCTGGTCTCGAACCCTGGGCTCAGGCAATCCTCTTGCCTCTGCCTCCCAAAGTGCTGGGATTATAGGTGTGAGCCACTGTGCTTGGCAACTACTAAATTTTGTAATTGCTTTGCATTTTGGCTCCATTAAAGCTATAGACTCAGAGTAATAACACAGGAAAGTCTTCTAATATAATGTAACGATCCCACTTTTATCGATTAAAGATGTCTGTAGTGTAGTATCTTTGTTTTGTACACAAAGGAATTAATATGGCCAGGAATAAAAATCTTAGTGAAAATAGTCTCATTTTGTATCTGAACTGGACATGGCTTATGCTTGGTCCATAGTTAATTTTGATTTATTCTTTATGTTCATTTGAATAAATAAAAATATTCCTAATGGAAAATATTTTGTAGAATAAGGGGGAGAGGGACCCCAGAGAGTGATTGTAAGTCAAAACTTCATATTTATTTTATTGACATTCTTTTAGCAGGTCAGTAAAGTCTAAACTATTTTTATAATAATACTAAGATTGTGATTTGCCTTTTGCACTCTCATTCTTTTACGAATAAAAAGTCAAGCTTTCCAGAGATTATACAATATGTGAGGATGACACCGCTCTGACAGCTAGTAGAACGTGTGCTTGTGTATTTTTGTGTTTTAAAATTTTGAGTTTTGGTTTATAATATAGTATATAGCAATAGATATAATCCTCATCCTGAGTCAAAGTTTATGAACTATTTCTCTCTGGCATAGTTCACATGAAATTGCAGACTTGTTCCTTCTCATTTTCTGTTTATCATAGGAAGTATTTTTTTTTTTTGCTTTCTCAGGGAATAAAATGTGAGTCTTAAGTATGAGTGATACAATTCAGGAAGTTGGCTCTTTACAGTTCTTGCTTAAAGGAAGAAAGCTGAAAGTAGAGGAAAAAGAACTTTATTTCTTTCTTTCTTTTTTGAGTCTGAATCCCACTCTGTCTCCCAGACTGGAGTGCAGTGGTGCTGCAGTGGCATGCTCATGGCCACTGCAGCCTCCACCTGCTGGGTTCAGGCGATCCTTCCACCCCAGCCTTCCAAGTAGCTGGAATTATAGACACATGCTACCACACCCAGCTAGTTTTTGTGTGTGTGTGATTTATTGTAGAGACGAGGTCTCACCAAGTTGCCCAGGCTGGTCTTAAACCCTGAGGCTCAGGCAGTCCTCTCACCTCGGCCTCCCAAAATGCTGGGATTATAGGTGTGAACCACTGTGCTCAGTCAGAACTTTTTTTCTTTTTTTTAACAATACTGGCCTGAATGACTATCTTATGATGTGCTTTCATATCTGGAAGACTTCAAGCATAAATCAGACAACTATTGAGAATATTTTTAAAGAAGATTAATCGTTCAAGTTGGGGGCTGTACTACAGGGGATTTCATGATTTAAGGCCACTTTAAAATCCTACAAGTTTGGGACTGGAACCACTTTGGCAGCATATAAATTTTAGCTTTAGCAAATTGAGTGAAGTTCTTATTAGTTGGTATCAACCAATTATATTATTTCACATTAAATCTTTTTTAAAAATTAAAATGAACTGTAAAAGTGAATCTTCCAGTTTGTTAGTTCTGTATCTATTTTTTTTTCTCATCTAAATGTGATATAGTTAATCAGTTTGCTTACTGTTTTTTTTCCCTGTGTATTTTATTTCAGTTGGTCGCATTATGTTTCAGCTTTTCTCAGACATATGTCCAAAAACTTGCAAAAACTTCCTTTGCCTATGCTCAGGTAAGTGAATTATTAAATTATTTCCAATGAGAAGTCATGGCTTACAGTTTTACCTTGCTTAACAGAGTAGCTATTTTCCTGGAAAAATATGGGCTGTGAAATTAGTTTTGCAAGTAAAAAAAATTTTTACACTGTTTTCTGTTTAAAATCCTGAAGGCATTTCTTATGGAAAATGAGGAGGTATCAAAAATGAAAGAGAGTAAGAGTCTACTTTATGTAATGGAATCTTCTCAGCAAATTTTAGTTTATAAAATAATAGTACATATTCAAAACTGATTTGTCATGGTAGAATTTTATGAATTTCAGTACTTTGACTAAATTTGGCATTCCAGATTTCACAAGAAATTTAGAGTTACAAGGTAGAGAGGCAAAACAAAAATGAAGTTGTGTTTTATTATGTATAATTGGATTTATATTCTAAATAAATAGAAAAAATTGCCAGGTGCAGTAGCTCACGTCTAATCGCAGCACGTTGGGAGGCGGAGGCAAGAGAATTGCCTGATCCGAAGGATTCAAGACCAGCCTGGGCAACTTGGCAAGACCTTGTCTCTACAGTAAATCAAAAAAATTTAGTCGGGTGCTATGGCACATGCCTGTGGTTCCAGCTACTTGGAAGGCTGAGGCAGAAGGATCACCTGAGCCCAGCAGGTCAAGGCTACAGTGAGTCGTGAATGTGCCACTGCACTCAGTGTCTGGGCGATAGAGTGAGATCCCTACTCAAAAAAAAAAACAATTCATTCTTGGGTATTAACACAATTTTTGGACCAGTTCCTTGATTTTGTTCTTTAACTGGAGTGATGTGTCTCCAGTATTTATGTTCTATAGCATGTAGACTGTGTATTACACAATTTAACATTTGTATGCTGCTTTGTATTTATTTTGGTTTGTGTGTGTTAAATTATCAATGTCATCTATCTCTTATATATCTTACAGTGCCCAACACACAGAAGAGACTTGACAAAGGATTAATTAGTTTGTTCTTTCTGTGGAATGATGTGTTTATAGCTACACTTAATTTCTTTTCTTTTTTAGGAGAGAAAGGCCTTGGGAAAACAACTGGGAAGAAGTTATGTTATAAAGGTTCTACATTCCATCGTGTGGTTAAAAACTTTATGATTCAGGGTGGGGACTTCAGTGAAGGTAGAGCTAAAAGTTATATTTTTAATAACTGTCAGTTTTTAATGTATATCACTATTAATTTTTAATTGTAAATGTCATGTCACTTACAGTAAGATGTAGACATTAATGTGGTCAGTGAATAGTTGTTGGATGAATGAATATTATAGATCTAGAATGCGGGAAAGACAAAATACTATGTAAGACCTTCTGTTTTGGTCTTAGGCAGTTTATTTTAGTAATATTGTAATTGCTTAGTGAATTTATTTACAATGAATTCCAAAGTACTGTCTGATGGCTTTTGTTCCAAAATTTTGTTGGTTTAATTACTGTTTGAAATAAGTGGGTCCAGATGCCTGATCCCTTCTCTCCCTTGAGAAGTTGATTCACCCTCTTTCTCTCTCTCTAATCTACTTTTTAAATCAACTATTTTTCCCAATCTAAAAGAAAAAGCAAAAAAAGAAATAAATGGGTCCTAGAGATCACATTTTTGATGGTATTTATTATAATAGGATTTGAGGTGTATTTTAAAGATGAAGTTAATTGAGCGTTTTTAGAATTTTGATTATTTGCAGCATTGATAAGGTTCAAGGTTTCCTTAAGCAAACTGAAGCCATCAAAAGTAATTTGTATGTGTTGTATATTTTAGTTTTTCATTATGACTCAATGTAGCTTATTATTTGTAGGTAATGGAAAAGGTGGAGAATCAATTTATGGTGGATATTTTAAAGGTAAGGCTTAATAATATTTTATGGTCTTTGTTTCAGTTCTGATATTAAAGCAAGTTTGGTCATATACTTTTAATGAGAAGAGGTTTACTTATAGTTCACTTGTTGCATGAAACTAATGCTGCATGAAAATACTTTTATTTGCATGAATTTGGGGATAAATTATATTGTAATATATAACTTTTAATTGACAAGATTAATTAAGGCTAACTTTATGGTTAAACATGACTTTCAGCATGGAGGTTAGGCAACTATATACATGAAAACTCCTATCTTCCTGCCTAAAACTGTCAACATATTCTTTTGTTTATAGAGAATGTGGTCTTTTGCAAAATGAAAAGGTAAGAGAACGAAGCTCAGTAACACAAACTCCAATTCTGTTCCCTTGCACCCTTCCTAATAAATTTATGGACAGTCTGGGTCAGGTTGTGGCTGGATTTCTATATTGCTTGAAGACTTGGAAAATTCTGTACAATATTTCATACATGCATCTGTGTCTTTTTTCTTTTCCCCATGGATTATTAGTTCCACGTCAGGGAAAAGAATCTAGTTGTGTTTTTTCCCCCTTAAAACAAGCAATTTCTTTGAATAAAAGTTGATATTTCCTCCTTTTTCAAAGGTTTGTATGTTTTCCTATGTATACTAGAACTATATGACTGTGTTTATTCTTGCAGTAGTAGCATTTGCATAAATCTAACTATTGCACTTGCCCCAAAAAGCCTTAGAAAAGTCAGTTGCAGAGATTTATAATGGGATCTAATACTACTAGGTTTTAATGCTATAATAGCTTCAGTGTTATAATAGTCTTTTATATTTCCTTTGGGGGAAAGTGGATTACTACTCTTTTTCAGAAGCCTGTTCCCAAGGTAATCATTTTTTAAAGTTTTCTATGTTTCTGTTTGTTCTAAAGAAAGATTTGTTTGTATGAATGTTAAAAAGAAATTTAAATTAATTTTCAAGGATATTTCTGCTGGAATTAAAAGAATCTCTAAGTGATCTTTATGACAGATTTTTTTCCTTTGAACTAGTAGGAAGCAGCTGTTTAGCTGGTTCTGTTAGCATGTAGCAATTTAAAACTAATGCTGTAGGCCACTTTAATGTGGTTGTTCTCTGTGGCAGATGCTTTTGTACCTTAAAATTGTATTTTGCCATTAAAATTTTTGTTTTTACATAACTTTCTTCCTTAGATAATTTTGATCCTATTGACTATTCACATACTTAATTTAATTTAGACATGTTTCTACAACTTACTCCATGTAATTTTTTTTGTTCCCATAGTCTAGTTTCAATTCAATGGAATAATAAATTTACCACATAAAAATTAAACATTTAAGAGGATTATTAAACTTCTCCCAGGTATATAGTGCATTAGTCAGGCTAATTGGAAATTTGGAAAAAATGAGCTTTACTATATTTTTTCTAAAATTTTGCTCATTTTCCCTGGAAGTTAATAGTTTAAATATCATTTAGCCAAAGTATGTTACTACTAAAAGTGACTGTTCTAAGGCTGTTTGTATAAAGTATTAAATATAAATTCTTTTCCTCAAGGCTTTAATTAGTATCCTATGGCCTTTTTATGCTTTTGTTATTTGATTAGCTTAAATTTTTTTTTTCTGAATATTCAGTCAAGTATCTATACTGACCAGAAGAGGAGTTTCATCTTTTGCTTTCTATTTATTATTTGAACATTACTTTAAAAGTGACTTATAATTAGCGACTGACGAATTTGTGTTTTCTTCAAACAGATGAAAACTTTATTCTCAAACATGACAGAGCGTTCCTTTTGTCAATGGCAAATCGAGGGAAACATACCAATGGTTCCCAGTTTTTCATGTGAGTAGGCATAATTCAGAGATGAGCTTTTCTTATACAGAGAAGCGCTGTTCATGAGAAAGATGGTATAGTTAAGCCAAGCTCAATGCTAAAATTCTGTCAACTTGGATTTTATTATTAATTTCTAATGTTATAGTGACTGGTAAACTCTAACAACTGCCTCAGCATTCAGCATATATCCTGGATTTGAAGAATGGGACTTAAAAAACATAACCTGAAGATACACATTATTTTCCAAATATTCTGTCATCTTAAAAAAATGAATTGCCTTTTGGCCACTACCAAATTTGAGTGCTCATATTATCAAAACTAGATTAGAACATAACCTGTCAATGAATATATAAAAATTGTTCATAGGATAGGGCCAGATATACCCCTCAACATGGAAAGCAACTACTTTGAATAAACCGTTGTATGGTTGTTTGCTCTCTTGCTGTTGCTCTTTGAGGCAATTTTGAGAGAGGTGCTATTATTTCTGATGTTATATAGATAGGTGACTTGCTGTTGAGTCAGCATATTTAAAAACTCACATTTTATGAGGTCTCTGTGCATAACTGAATGAACCCAATGTTGCTGTCATTTCTGACAAAATATATAATGATGTTATCATTCAGGAAACTTCAGAATACTAAATTTGCTTTTGAAAAAATCTTAACACGTACATGTACATACAACCAAAATTGTACTTATTTCTCATCTGAAAATTCTAAATAAGTTCTTTGGCATACTTGTTGTTATAGTCTTATGAAAAGTTACTCCAAAATCTATTTTAATTCTAATCCCAACATATAAAATTTGAAAGGTAACTGTCCAGCATGAAGTTTAATGCTTTTGACTGGAAATAAATTTCAGTTGTGCTAAGTATGTTGGAGAAATATTTTATTCATGATTTATCAGGAAAAGTTTTTTTTTTTTTGGTCATCTTTCTGAGTGGATGATTATGAATGGCGCTTCCCTGTCTTTAAAGGAGTAAATTATTCATAAATAAAACTCAAACTTTAAACTTGTCTGAAAAAAAGATTTCAACATGATCTGATGAAGTTCAGATAAGGGGCATTCTGTTCCTAAGAATGTCCTAAAAATGGAAAGTTGATAAAAGATGAATATGCTTGGAGTTATAAGAAAAAGACCTACAATAGTTGTTCCTGTATCTTGTTTTAATTCCATAGATTATTAATTTTTCCACTTCTTTACTAAAGTGATTTTCTATTTTTAAACTTAAGAAAGCCAATACAAAGTAGAAATATTTTCAAAAAAATATTTTATAGTAGCTTAATATAGAAGCTGTTTACTCTTTGATTGAGGTTTCCCATTTCCATTTTTAAGCTTATCTGAACTATGAACATGAAAAACTAATTATTCATTGGTCAAGAAGCTACCATTTGAGGGCTCTAAAGTTTCTTTTAGATTTCTTTTTTTATATTAGTACATTTAAAATTCAATTTATCAAGTAGCAGTGGCTTCTTGGTATTATTACATACAGACTAGCTTGTTTATGAAATGTTAGCATTTAAACTAGTACACCTACATACACTGATTTAGTATGTGAAATTTTCCTTTCAAAAAATTTAGAGTGTCTTGTGTTGTTTAGTACTAGGCTTAAGTCTTTTCTAGGAATATATAGCAAAGGTCATTACTGTGTTCTGCATAGCCTAATTTTATGTTGGACTACTATTTTTGAAGTGGATAAATCAATAAATTAGGATTATAATTTTAAAACTTTTTTTGTAATTAACTTACTATAGATGGCATTAAAATCACTGTCAGCTTGTAATTTGAAAGAAAATTCTTACTTTTAGTTTGAAGTTTACTTCAGGATAAGAGTTTGCTGTTAAAAGCAATCTTGGAAGTAATTAAGCATTTTTGCATACACACAGAAATCTGCATCTCCTTTTTTTTTATGCCTACATACTTTATGCTGACTAAAAATATTGGTTCCCAAGAGTTGCAGTATAAAATTAAATTAATGTTAGTGTTTGGGAATAAAATGTATCTTTGTTTTTAGGAAAGGATAGGTTAAAATGGAGATGGTAGCTTATAAAAGGAAAATCTTTGACACTCTGTGTCTTACAAGCCTAAATCCTTTTGGAGTTGAAAGTACTAGAAAAGTATAATGTACTGTCTTCAAGTTGAGTGCATGATCACAGATATTAGCTCTGATGGTCACAGAGCTAGGTGATAGCTTCCCAAGGGTAGCTCTTGCCTTTTTCTCTACTGCCACAACTCCTCATATGGTACATTGAGCACAGTTTAGGAATCTGAAAGAGAAAGGATAGTACAAGAATGATGGTAAAATAAAAATACCTTACTTTACAATTCCTGTTTTATAAACTTAATAAGGACTTTTAATACATCCTTGCAAAATTGTTTTTGTAGTTTGTTATTAAATATGTTACTCTGCAATCCCTAAGGGTAAATTTGGTGCTGTTAGTGAAGGTGTTTGTAAAATCCCTCAAGGATTCTTGTGCTTTGTGCATTAGCTATTGTCTTCATTACTTGCATTTAAAAACTCCCCTTCCTTAGGCATATATCATTTTTATTTAACATATTTTTGTATATATTGCTTTCTTTGACTGGAACAATTATGTGCATGATGAAAATCAGACTTTCTTCTATAAATCTATTTGTAATTTTTACAATAACTGTTTATTTCTACTACTGTATTCACCCAATAACTTTGCTCTTGGGGGCGTCTATAGAAGAAAACTGATTCTTTCTGGAATAGTACTGCTCAAGAAACGTGAAAGAAGTGATAGATGGCACTATCCCCATGGCTCACTGAGGAAACAATGGTTTGTTCATGTTAAAGCATTTTTAACACTTGGGAACAAAGTTGTTTATTAATTTTGTCCTTTTATTATTATTTATTTTTTTAGGTCCAAGAGTAGGAACAAAAACACAATAAAAGCTAGAATTAGGAAGTCTTAGAGCGGATAGGTATTTAGAGATAATCTAATCCAACCTTTTCATTCTATAGGTAATGCTAAATAAAGAATAAAAACCATGTAAATTCCAGGTTATAGAAACAGATTTTATTTGTAATCTGGAAGAAAGTGATAGCTAGAAACATGATGCACACTATAAGCTATATAATTTTATTAACCACTGTGCTCTGAATTTATTTTAGTTTTTTTTTTTAATAAAGTATCTCAACTTTCAAAGATTAACTGAACATTTTGGTATGAAAATGTGAACATATAAGGAAGAAAGTGTCCTGTAGGGTGGTCCTACCTATGTAGAATGGTTTATGTACAAACATTATCTTGCCTAAAGGAAATAGTCATAATTGCTTAGTTTGCATCAGTCTGAAAGATGTCTCAAAGAAGCGTTAGGCTCATCTTGCCTAAAACAATAGGAGCACCATTCTCTTCATCAGCTGGTGTTAGAACACAATGCCTTACATACCATCCATGGACTAGGGAGACCTGCAGAGCTTTGGAGCCCAGTCCCTGTCACTGGCCACTGTCAGTGGTCATGATAATTATAAAAATGTAAGAAAACAAGATAATATAGAGAAGTCAAACCTCGAAACCTCAACAAAATGTGTTATATTTTAACAGTCATAAATAGGATGCAGGGAACAACTTAAGTTTTAGAATATATTTAATGTCACTTAAGCATCAGACTTGCAAGTGGCTACTCACCTGTGTGGGAGAGGAGTGTTGATGATGTCAGAGTAGTAGAGTAAGGAAGATTGAGGAGTGGTTGGTTTTATAAAGCTATGTTGACATTTTGGGTAGTAAAGGTAGATTTAGGGTAGAAATGCTTTTTCTACTCATATATACTTAAATTTATATGGAAAGAAATGCTAGTAAGTGTTAATAACCTGAGATGTTCCTAGCTTTTTTCTTCCTTTTGGGGGTAATACAAAGGTATTGTTAGCGTCACATTTTTTTTTTTATGAGCAAAGATATTCATGAAATTTAACCATAAGCCAAGTCCTTTGAATGTAAAGACTTAATACTACATGGTGTTTATGTAACATATGTATTAGCAATGTGGAGGAAACTTGGTATCTAGTACTGTTTGGTGTGTTTACCTTGACATTAGTGCTGAATTTTAGAAAGCGTTTCTACTTTGGTGCCTTTTGGAACACAAAGGTAGAACATTGTAAAGTGACCTGGTTAGTTTCCATTGCCCTTATACAAACTTTGTCATTGTGGCACAATTTGTTGCTTCTTCCATGACAGTGGAGAATTTGGAGTTGAAGGGGAAAATAATTGATGTTAAAGGCTAAATTAGGCAGAAATATTTTGTCTTTTTTTCTCTCTTCTATACTACCTTACACCTAGAGTCACTTATTTTTTACAACATTCTTTGAAAGCTCCACGTTATTTCAAACATTATGTTATTTTTACACTAATTCATGTTATCAACACCTTTATAAGAAAATTAAGCTTATTTTTAAATATTTTAAGAATTAATAAGTTCTCAGTGCCTATAAAGCATTTTATTTTGTCCATGGTATGATAGTATAATAGGGTTTTGGTCTGAGTAGTAATAGATATGTTTAAGATTAAATACAGTTAAAATTGGTCATACAGTGTATGCTCTTTGAAAAAAGAAATTCTTTATAATGGGGAAAATCAGAGATTAGACAGGAAAAGAAGATTGTGGCCACAATTTGACAGGACACTCTTATACTTTGATCTCTTTTACCTTTTTACTCTGAGAAGATCCCTAAAATTCTAATTATACTGTTTTATTTTGATTATGCTCAGTGACTTCATAGTGTATATAATATCAGTGAGCAATGACTACAGTCCAACCATTTGCTCATTAACTTCTAAAAATGGTCTCGTGATATATGACCAGAAAAAATTTTCATATGTAGAAGCACGAAAGTTTCCTTAATTGTTTGAATTAATAAAAAGTTTCTTGAAATTTTATTTGTTTTTGGATTATCTTAACTCAGTTTTTTCCAGTGACATTTTTGCTTTCTACTGGAAGTAGCTGTATCTGGGCATTCAGATTTTTTTTATTTTTATGTATATATTCAGGATACACTATTCTTTTTCTGAGACAAATGTTGTCTTGGCTAATTTCTGGGATATGTGAAAGGAAATGTAATGTTTTGTTAATACCTATTATTGGCATTCTTGTGTTACAGTTTTAAAAGGAGTCCCACTTCAGGCACAATGCTTTTCTTAAGAATAACTCATCTCTACGTAAATATCCCATATGAAAGAAAATTTAGAGCCCTCCATTTTAAAAAGCTTTCTTGCTTTGCATAAAACTTGAAAATATTTAATTTCGAAGTTATATTGCTATTAAAACATAGATTCAGTCTTGTCTTAAAAGTGTATTACAATTTATTTCTTGCCATTTTTGTGTAAAATTTACAGAAAGAGTGTTACACCGTGCGCTCCAAAGGTAATGTCTCATTACTCTAAGGCTCTCTTTTTCTTTCTTTGCCTTTATCTCTTTAATCCTATTGTTAATGTGCATTTAAACATTTTAAGAAAAACAAAAACAAAAAACCTTTCTGCTTTGTCTGTATAGCATCAATACATGTAAAACAAGTGTGTTTTATTGTCCATGGTTAATCTTGGAAAGTATATTTTAATTGTAGTGGCTTTTTTTAAAACCAAGTTCTTACATACTTAAGGTGGGGAAGTGGGGTTGTAGGTTATATAATGGTTTGAGATCATTTCAGTGTGGAACTAGTCATTTCTGCAAGTCAAAAGCTTCTCTGATAATGGTATAAAGCTATAGATTTGTTTTTAGAGTAATAGTGACACTTCAGTCTCTAGGATTTTCAAGGTTTAAATGAACCCTTGCACATATCTTTTTAAAGTAGATTCAAGATTAGGGAAAACCGAAAAACCAATCTCTAAGTAACAAGAGAAAATGGAAATGTGTAAATACTGAAAGGTCTTATAATTTGAAATGTTCTTTGTGGTTGTTTCTCCTTTAGATATGTTTTCACAAGGCATATATAACCTTAAAATATAAAATGGATGATAGTCTTTTGCCTTCTTAAGGTCTTGACTGACTTAGTGTATGTCACTGCTGTTTGCTTCTTTGAACAGCTTTTTGAAAGACTAATACAATTCTTTGAAAATTGAAATTTTTGAAAGCTGAATATAATCAAGAGTAGTGTGAGCTCTCTGCCATTTTAGTGGAATTGAAAAGCCTGGATTGCACATGTCATTTCCCCCTGCCCTTTTGTAACCCCCTTTGGTCAGTGTCCATATCGAGTGTTGGCCCAGTGCCAATAAGCCTGCTTTACACTGGGATTCCTATTCAGAGGACTTCCTTTTATTAAATACTTTTAGTATTCTTAATATGTAGTCTAACCCAATTAAAATACAGATTTTTATTTTGCATCCTGAACTGCAGATGCAGGTAATGGACTTATATTACTCACATCAGTTTAGGCACATGGGCAGGTTGAGTTATCCTTGAAAGAAAGTGTTTCCTGTCTTCATTTGTTTTCTTCACTACTGCAGTAAAGGACCAGGTTTGCTTATCCTTCAGTTTTCATTTGAATTGAAAACAAAACTTGAATGTCATAAAAGTAGCTGTTTGATCCTCCGATTGAGTCTCAAGTAGTGTGTTGCTGCATCATTATACTTAGCGGAAATGTTTTATCTCACCGTTTGCTCCAAAGGTTTGTCATGAGGTGGTTTTTACAACATTTCTATTAGCCAGGATTGCAAATTGGTTTGGGCTCTGTATGTTTTAGAACAGTCTATAGGCTTTCCCCAATACCAGAAGATCTGAGAGTTGTGAGAGAAAGGATCAAGGAAGAAGGAGGGATGTAACCAATCCGGAAACCATTCATTGTTTCACGTCTCTATATTTGAAACTGATCCCTTACGGTGCAGAAAAATTTTACCTTTATAAAAGTATTCTTTATATCGTTCATGTGATGGAATCACTGTCTAGCTCCTGTGCCATTTTTTGTTTTTAAAGCAGGATTTATTGAGAGGACAGAAAAGCTCCCACAGTGGGAGGGGACCCGAGGGGGTTGCCCTGTACCAATTTCTTATCGTTAGTGTGCTTTGGTAAAGTTTGATAATTACAGGAAGTACATTTCTATCTTAAAGTAATTGTCTAAGGTGGTTTTTGGATACTAGCTTAATGGTTTAAGCATTAGTGACTTACCAATTTGCTAGATTTTTGTTTTGTTTTGTTCCTTTTTGCTGCCTGTTTTTATTTTTATAATTACATTGCCTTGAATTTCCACTTCTTAGTCTTCTGAGGAATATTTGAGATTCATGGTTTTAAAACTTAATATTTCCTTCAAAATTCTGGAACTTCCTGACATTTTAATTTTTTAAAATTCTGTAGTGCTCTTACAAAACTGAATATTCTTAATAATGTTAGTATAAGCATTACAACTCCTTGTACAATAAAGATTTTTAGCTTTGTTGTAAAGGTTAAAATTATGTTTTGTTGACTTAACGTATCTTGACATTGCCTTAAAATAAATATAAAAATTTATATGAGCCGGGCTTGGTGGCTCAGCCTGTAATCCTGCACTTTGGGAGGCTGAAGTGAGTGGATTGCTTGAACCCGCAGGTTTGAGACCCACCTGGGCAACTTGGAGAGACCTCATCTTCACAATAAATCAAAAAAATCAACTGGGCATGGTAGCGCATGCCTGTAATTCTGGCTACTCAGAAGGAAGGCTGAGGCGGAAGGATCACCGGAGTCCAGCAGATCGAGGCTGTGGTGGCCGGGAACGGCCACTGCACTCCAGTCTGGGCGACAGAGTGAGACTCCAACTCAAAAAAAAAAAAAAAAAAAATTATATGAAAGTTCCTAGTACAATTGGCTGCTTAAATACGGCCTAATATCCAGTGACTTTTCTGTCTCTCTCATTCTTATAAACCAAGATGCTTGTGGTGTATCATTGTGAGTCTAATTATCTGCTTTTGAGTTTTTTCCCACTGCAATTCACGTAATGTGAAGATCTATGAAAATGCAATGGGAAAACCAGCTTGGGTTCAAAATATCTTAAACAAATGTACATAGGCTTCCCAAGAGTGACTATCTGACAGTTTGTGACTGTTGAAGAAGCCAGTTGGGTGTTATCTGGACCATGGAAATTTACCTATCATTACTTTGCTGTCAGAAATATTAGCATATTGAAGCTTTTCTCCTTATCACATTTTCAGAGTTTCTGCAAATGTCAGAGCTTCACCTTGGGTGAAGGAAGAGGGGGCAGGAGGTTCTGAAAACAGAACTCCCTCTGTCTGCCTGCCTAAAAGATGCAGACTGACTTAGTATGAGAAATGACAAACAGAATAACTCATTTAAATGTGGGAGGTGGGGCAAGTGTTGATCACACTTTTCCTTCCATAGGGCAAATAATAGGTGCTTTTTCTTAATTATGCTGATGAGTTTTGACTTTTTAAATGTTTGTTGTTTTGGATTTGAGAGTAATTTTAATATGTATTTATGCTATTTGTGGCTATAAGTCAAATCAAACCTATTTCACAAATATATATAGTCTAATAGAGATGGTTGTGTAATTCATTACAATCTTGAGTTTTCTTATCAGTAAAATGACTGCTATTGCTGTTTGGGGGTTTTTAAGGTTAGATATGTATCTTGTTTAACTTTTTCCCCTTTTTATCTTTACTTCTTTGTTCTCTACATGCTGTGTTTTAATCCTTCTGCCCTCTTCATCTGAACACATCGTTTTTGGCATCATCTTTGTGTTGGTGTTTTTTACATAGCACCACAAAACCTGCTCCACACCTGGATGGGTAAGAGTTACATTCTTATTACCTTGGGGAAGTGTTTGGGTGGCCAGTCATAAAGACAGATTGGTTCAAGGGCAAACCCTCAAGGGGGCGCTCTTGAAGTCTGAGTTTATCTCTCATAGCCAAGCTCTTCCCTTAAGGATCTCAGAGTGGCAGTAGTTTTGAGATTCCGTAGCAGTCATGTTACTGAAGGGGTCTTTAACCCGTGCCCATAGACTTCTCAGCAATGCAGTATTAAGTTTTCCTCTAAGGATGGTTTCTGAGTATCAAGTGCAGTCTGACTGTTAATCAGATTCTATCCTAAAATGGTTAAGAACCATTGTTTTAAAGGCAGAAAACTGAGGTTCAGTTTTAGTAATAATTGTTTCCTTTTATGAAGCAGATTCAAGTTCTCATTTTCTTGCAGTTGCTTCATACATCAAACACTTTGGTTTTATTTTTGGGCCTGTGGGCCTGTCATTATTACAATCGTCTTGGCTACTGTTTATAGCTTACTTATCAACCTAATTGTTTCTTGAATTTATATTGTGACAGGGTGCATGTTGTCTTTGGACTGGTTATTTCTGGTTTTGAAGTAATAGAACAAATTGAAAATCTGAAAACTGATGCTGCAAGCAGACCATATGCAGATGTGCGAGTTATTGACTGTGGGGTACTTGCCACAAAATCAACAAAAGATGGTAAGAACTTTTTTCGGTGTGGAAGAAACTGAGATACAGGTAAAACATTGTTGAAGACTATAACTAGATTTCAGTAGTGGAAAAACTCATTCTAGTGGCATAGCTATAGCCCTTGATGTCTCTGTATCATACCTTACACATTTGATCCTTCAGCAAATCTTGCCAAATCTTATCTCATTATATTAGTTTCTCTTATTCCCAGCCTGCTCCAACTAGTGTCTTATGTCTGGATTATTATAGTAGCCTTATAAGTGTTTGCTTTGCCTCTGTCCTGTAATCTTTTCTCAGCAGTGATAGCATCCTAACTGGTCTCATTGCTTACATCCTTGGCCTTCTATGGTCTGTTCTTAACACCAGCCGAGTGATAACTTTATTTATTTATTTATTTACTTGAGTTGGAGTCTCACTCTGTCGCCCAGACTGGAGTGCAGTGGCCACTCCTGGCCACCGCAGCCTCGACCTGCTGGGCTCCAGCGATCCTTCTACTCACCCTTCCAAGTAGCTGGAACTACAGGCGTGTGCTACCATACCCAGCTAATTTTTTTGATTCATTGTAGTGATGAGGTCTCACCAAGTTGCCCAGGTGGGTCTCGAACCCGCGGGCTCAGGCAATCCACTCATCTCAGCCTCCCAAGGTGCGGAATTACAGGCTGAGCCACCGAGCCCAGCTCGAGTGATGACTTTAAATCATACTTCACATGGGTCACTCCTGCTTAGAATCCTTAAAGATCTCCCTTCCAAGTCAGCCTAAGCTTAAGTCTTTAGGGTGGTCTGTAAGGCCACAGATGATCTGGCTCTTTGCTATCTCTCTGATCTCTTCCTCCCCATTCATTGCCTTCCAGCCACATTGACCTTTACTCAGATGTGCCAGTCACTCAGGGACTTTGTGCTGGCTGTTCTCTCCATCTGGAACACTCTTCATTAAGATATCCGCATGACCCCCTCTCTTGCTCCTTCAGATCTCTGCTCTGGTGTTATCTTAAACTACTCCCTACACTCCCTATTCCTTTTATGGTGCTTTTTTTTTTCTGGCTCAGCACTTATCATTTGTTATGTTATGCAGTTACCTATTTTCTTGTTATCTGACCCAACTAGAATATAGGCTTCATGAGGACAAGGGCTTTACCTTACAATCTTGCCAGCAATCATATTATCAACTGGCAAAAATATTTACATTTCATTTTTAGTTTGCTATGCATAGAGCATAATTTATAATATTCAGTAATCATGTTTTTTACTCTGAAAAGTAGATACTGAAATCCAGTACTAATATTTTTGTTAATATTTCTTAAAAGTATTTGAGAAAAAAAGGAAGAAACCGACTCAATCAGAAGACTCGGATTCCTCCTCCAATTCTTCTTCCTCTTCAGAATCATCTTCAGAAAGTGAAATTGAACATGAGAGAAGCAGAAGAAGGAAACATAAGAGGAGGCCAAAAGTTAAACGTTCAAAAAAGAGACGAAAGGAAACAAGCAGTTCAGAAGAGCCAAGGAATAAACATATAGTAAGCCCAAAAGGGTGAGTGTAAAGCACAATTTACTCTTAACCAAAAAACCTCCTGGAATGGAAAACATACACATAATTCTACAAACTCAGTTTTATTACCTATTGTTGAAAAAGGATAGCATTGAAATTGAAATTTGAAAAATTTGGGAGTAGTAGCATAGGCATTTTATTTCAAAGACTTACATGTTTTCAGGTGAAAGCAATCCCAGCAACTCTTTAAAAAGTTAGGATCAAGCCGGGCTCAGTGGCTCAGCCTGTAATCCCGCGCTTTGGGAGGCTGAGGTGAGTGGATTGCCTGAGCCCGCGGGTTCGAGACCTCATCTCTACAATAAATCACGAAAAAAATTAGCTGGGCCTGGTAGTGCACGCTTGTAGTTTCAGCTACTTGGAAGGCTGAGGCAGAAGGATTGCCAGAGCCCAACAGGTCGAGGCTGCCGTGGCTGGAGTGGCCACTGCACTCCAGTCTGGGCGACAGTGAGACTCCAACTCAAAAAAAAAAAAAAAAAAAAAAGGCAGGATTATTTGACAATTTTTATATCAAAATTTTGGTACTCTGGGTTTTTCACTGGGTTGATGTTTTATATATCTCCCTCTTTTTTGAGCTGGGGTCTCACTCTGTTGCCCAGATTGGAGTGCAGTGGCATGCTCACATCTCACTGCAGCCTTAATCTCTTGGGCCCAGATGATCCTTTTGCCTCAGACAGTTCACTCTTGCCTCAGCCTCCCAAATAGCTGGGACTACAGGTATGTGCCACAATGCCTGGCTTATTTTTTTTTAATATTTGTTTTTTTGTAGAGACAAGTTCTTTCTATGTTGCCCAGTCTGGTCTTGAACTCCTGCACCCAAGTAGTCCTTCCACCTTAGCTTCCCTAAGTGCTGGAATTACAGGTGTGAGCTGCCATGCCTGGCCTGTATAACACTTTTGAGTGAGACTTGTAAGCTATCAGTAGCCATGCTGTTGTTTTCATATCTAAGTGTATGTATTTTCATTATTATGAAGTGCAAGCATTACATATCTTAATTGGTGACTTGGTTTGTTTTCTCTAAGTCACTCTGAGAGGAGTGATACCAATGAAAAAAAGTCAGTTGATTCAAATGCTAAAAGGGAAAAACCTGTGGTCCGCCCCGAAGAGATTCCTCCAGTGCCTGAGAACCGATTTCTATTGAGAAGAGATATGCCTATTGTTGCTGTGGAACCTGAACCGTAAGTAGAATGACTAAGCTGTATGTTTTTATTCCTCTGATTTATTGACCACTCTCATTTATTGACCACGACCCATGTTCAGTGCACTTTGAAAAATACCGTGGGAGTATTAGATTAATGAATGATTTGCAAGAAATATGGGAAGTACCAGATTAATGAACATTATGTAACCTGCCTTTCAGAATTCACGTTGTACTAGTAGGGAAAGGAAGCTGGGTAAGTTGGTCAGGAGGACAAGTTCTGTTTTTTTGTTTTGTTTTGTTTTGAGTCATAATCTCACTCTGTTACCCAGGCTGGAGTGCTGTAGCACACTCACAACTCACTGCAGCCTTAACCACCTGGGCTCAGATGATTCTCCTGCCTCAGCTTCCCAAGTATTTGGAACTACTGGGTTCAATCTGCTCTGTGCAAGCGATCCCTCTACCTCAGCCTTCCAAGTAGTTGGAACTATAGATGTGCACCACCAGGTCTGGCTAATTTTTGAGTTATTGTAGAGACAAGGTCTTGCCATGTTGCTTAGGCTGATCTTGAACCCTTGGACTTAGGCAGTCCTCTTGCCTCTGCCTCCCAAAGTTCTGGGGTTACAGGTGTGAACCCCTGCGCCTGGCACGGGACAGGTTCTTATTGGAGGTCTGGAAAGATTTCATTACCTTTCATTAGAAAAGTGTGGTTTTGGTTATCAGAACAGAGGGTTAGTTAAATACTTTGGAGCCAGTTGACTGATGAAACATGTTTCAATTTGAATAGTACATAATTACATGGTGGTTGGAGATATAATTTAGTATCATAAATGTGTTACTGTTAACTTAGTGATAACTTATCTGCGTTTGAAAAACTAATGTATGGCTTTAGATTTGTTCTGAAAAAATAGTATTTAATGTATTTTGTATAGTAGACTCAAGTTTAGAATTATTAAAAGAAAACGTTAGCCGGGCTTGGTGGCTCAGCCTGTAATCGCGCCTTTGGGAGGCTGAGGTGAATGGACTGCCTAAACCCGCGGGTTCGAGACCCGCCTGGGCAGGCGAGACCTCATCTGTACGATAAATCAAAAAATCAGCTGGGCGTGGTAGCGCATGCCTGTAATTCCGGCTACTCAGAAAGCTGAGATGGAAGGATCGCTGGAGCCCAGCAGGTCGAGGCTGCGGTGGCTGGGAGCGGCCACTGCACTCCAGTCTGGGTGACCGAGTGAGACCCCAACTCAAAAAAAAAAGAAAATGTTGCATGAACAGGAATCCATAATGAATGGTGTAATGGATAAATTCCCTATGAAGAGTTACTTTGAAAACTGAGAAATTGTGCAAGCGTTCCTGTTCACAATCAGGCCATCATTAATTAATTTTTTTTTTGAGTTGGAGTCTCACTCTTCCACCCAGGCTGGAGTGCAGTGTGGCACGCTTACCGCCACAGCATCCTCGAATCTGCTGGGCTCAGGCGATCCTTTTGCCCCAGCCTTCCAAGTAGCTGGAACTACAGGCGTGCGCCACCATGCCTGGCTAATTTTTTTTTTTTTTATTGTAGAGACGAGGTCTTGCCAAGTTGCCCAGGCTGCTCTTGAGCCCATGGGCTCAGGCACTCCTCTTGCCTCCATCTCCCAAAGTGCTGGAATTACAGACATGAGCCACCGTGCCTGGCTTAGTTAATTAAACATTTTTTAAGCCTGATATTATCTCATTTTACAAAGCTGTTGCAAAATGCTATGTTATCTTCGGATCAATACCTTGACATATGTTTTTATTATTAAAAATTCTAGCTTTAGCCGGGCTCGGTGGCTCAGCCTGTAATCCCGTGCCTTTGGGAGGCTGAGGTGAGTGGATTGCCCAAGCCCGCGGGTTCGAGACCCGCCTGGGCAGGCAAGACCTCATCTCTACAATAAAATCAAAAAATTAGCCGGTCGTGGTAGCGTGCACCTGTAATTCTGACTACTCAGAAGGCTGAGGCGGAAGGATCGCTGGAGCCCAGCAGGTCGAGGCTGCGGTGGCCGGGAGTGGCCACTGCACTCCAGTCTGGGCGACAGAGTGAGACTCCAACTCAAAAAAAAAAAAAAAAAAAAAAAATTCTAGCTGTAAATAAATTTTAGTGGGTTTTTTCTTTCTTATAAGTTACCAGTGAATGATCAAAATTCATTTGGCTTTCAGAAGGACAACATCAATGATATATGGTAGGAGTCAGCAATCTGTGATTCATGGTCCAGGTTATTCTGTCCCCCCTTAAAGTGAATTCCATTCTTCTCATTAGTAGACCTGTATTACTAAAAGAGATCCTCTGTTCTTGTTGTTGTTACTATATTTCAAATTTTGTCAACAGAACATTTGTGGAAATTTGTTTTCTTTTTTTTTGAAATTAGCCAGACACAAAAAGTCAAATATATGGCAAATTTATAGAGATGGAAAGTAGAATAGGCCTCTGTCAGGACTGCTGAGGAGCGGGGATAATGGAGGGTTAGTGTTCAGTGAGTACAGAGTTTCTGTTTGAGGTGATGAAAAAGTTTTGAAAGGGTAGTGGTAATGGATGCACATCATTGTAAATGTAATTGGTACCACTGCACCGTACATTTAGAATGCTAAAGATGGCAAATTTTATGTTATTTTTTATTTTTTTTGAGTTGGAGTCTCACTCTGTCGCCCAGACTGGAGTGCAGTGGCTGCTCCCGGCCACCACAGCCTCGACCTGCTGGCTCCAGCGATCCTTCTGCCTCAGCCTTCCGAGTAGCCGGAATTACAGGCATGCGCTACCACGCCCGGCTAACTTTTCGATTTATTGTAGAGATGAGGTCTCGCCTGCCCAGGCGGGTCTTGAACCCGCGGGTTCAGGCAATCCACTCACCTCAGCCTCCCAAAGGCGCAGGATTATAGGCTGAGCCACCGAGCCCGGCTAAATTTTATGTTATATATGTATGTATCTCTTACCACAATGAAAAAAGTATTTTAAAAACGCTTATTAGTGCAATGCTTGACACATAGTAAATAATTGCCCAATAAAAGCTAGCCGTTATGTTAGTAATAGCAGACACAAAATAACCTGAGGTATACAAAGACTTTTCATGCATGGAAGACTGTAGGTGTCATAAAAACTATAGTCTTAGAATTTCCCATATGATAAAGCAGCAAGATTCAAAGCATTGAAGGAGGGGCAGCTTACTGTAGAATGGGAGAGACATATTAGAAAAAAACGAACAAAGCACAATTAAGTATCAGTCAGGAATGCCTCAATATTCCCTTAAGAACATTACTGTTCTGACAAGAGACACCAAAAAAGGATTTGGTTTAAAGGTAGTACTGTACTTAAAAAGATATATATTAGTATCATGTGTATCTACCCAATTGATTTTTTTATTTTTTAAGTTTTGTCATTGAAAGGGTTTGCCTAGAAAATTAGGTTATGTGGAATGCTTCATCCTATAAAAGTGTTGGATAAATGAAATGTTTTGGTATTGTAGGGGCATGAATTCTGCATTTATTTATCTATTTCTTTTTACTCTGTTGCCCAGGCTGCATTGCAGTGGCATGATTAAGGCTCATTACTGCCTTGACCTCCTGAGCTCAGGTGATCCTTCCGCCTCAACCTTCCAAGTAGCTAGGACTACAGATGTGCTCCATTCACACCTGGCTAATTTTTAAATTTTTTTGTTGCAATGAGGTTTCGCCAAGTTACTTATGCCGGTCTTGAACTCTTAGACTCAAGCGATCCTCCCGCCTCAGCCTCCCAAAGTGCTAGGATTATAGGCATAAAGCACTACACTCAGTCAAATTCTGCATTAAAAAACATTGAGAAAAATGCCTCGCATTTGCTTATTTTTAATTTTCATCAATCCTCTTTTCTAGGAAGATTCCTGATGTTGCACCCATTGTAAGTGATCAGAAACCATCTGTATCAAAGTCTGGACGGAAGATTAAGGGAAGGGGCACAATTGTATGTGTGTTAAGACTTTTTTTCAAATTATATGTCTAAGCAGTAATTATTTTTTACCTATAGGCAAAACTCTAGCTTTAATTTTAGTTATAATACAAAATCTGTTCAAGGAACTGGTTGTATTTTCCATAGTCATAGGAAGGTACTGCTACTAAATTAAAGTTTACTGCTCTGTTTGAGTGGGTTTAATTAAGCATGAAATGAATGTGTGAAATATTCAGTATGCTGAGAAGACAGTATTTTGAATAATCTAGGTTAATGAGTATAACCATTAGGACTTTGAAAAGGAAAATTTTGTGTCTGATTACAAGTGAACCTTAGCCTTTCCAACTTCTTTTAATACCTTATGTTTGAAGTGTTTGAAATACTTCATACTATCCTTTATATAACTTGAATCATTGACTTTGATGGCATCTGAGATTGGATCTTTTACTTAACTCTGTCCTATAGCAGACTGTCACTGAGAAGCATTTTTAAAATAGTTATTGTCTTTGTTTTTAAAGCGCTATCATACGCCTCCAAGATCAAGATCCTGTTCTGAATCAGATGATGATGACAGCAGTGAAACTCCTCCTCACTGGAAAGAGGAAATGCAGAGATTAAGAGCATACAGACCACCTAGTGGAGAAAAATGGAGCAAAGGAGATAAGTAAGAGCTTTGAGTATAAGCATAATCCTGTGTCTGCTGTATTTTCAGTGGTAAAGGGATAGAGACTTAGTTGTGGACTTTTCATTAAGGATTCACAGTCAGAATTAGACTGTGACTAAAGGGAATATATTTGGGAATACCTGGTAAACCTAGCACTGTTAGTTAGGTCGGATGAATGGCTTTGGGGGTCTTTTAAATCAAAATTCTGTTTTCCTTAACAAAAACTGTAAGCCTACTGAATCTTTTAAAGACCTCTTATTCACTTTTAGAAATAATTAGGACTTTAAAATTATATAGCAAATTCTTTCCTAGCCAAGTCTCTTTGTTACTGATGAAATAATTGGTAGATAGGAAAACCTTTTCTCAGTGTGGGTGCATTAACTTTTGGCCTCAGGTACTGTTGCTTCTTTAGATGTGTACACATCTCTTACCTTCAGTGATACCTCACAGTGGAATATCTCTTTTAAGAATGGGGGGGGGCACCAGAATAGCTAGTGAGAAAATATACTAATGGGACCCTTTATAATTCTTTGTGGTGGGATTCTCTTTTTCTCTGTGAGCATCCTGCAGAATGGTTTGAAATTGGGAGAATGAAGAAAAGGTGTGTATCTGCTGTGTGGAAGCAGCTTAGACACAGTGGTGCTGATCATTCTCAGTTTTGAGCCCTGACATTATCACTAAAATTGTAAAACTTGCATCTTGGTTTTGTGTATTTTTTCCTCAATTTGTTTTAAGTAGTTTAGCTACAACCTCGGGGGAAAGTCTTGATTACCTCTTGAGGCGGAGAGAAAATATGAGTCCTGCTAGTTTCTTAAGAAAAAAGAGGCTTTTCTTACAAAAAAAAATCGGGCAGCTGTCCTGTATGTGCAGAGAACCAACAAAATTGCTTGGGAACTTGGTTTGGCTATCCCTCAAAAATTGCTCCTGGAGGCAGAGCTGTGAGCAGATAACAGCCAGGAACTCTTGTGATTGGCATCAATGCTTTTGTGATTAGTTGATTTGGTTTTCAAAAACATTTTTCTATCAAATTTGAAATTCTTTGCTTAGTTTTAAAAAAAGTCCTTTTGTAAGTGAGTCTGTTAGTAGTTGTCAGTGTGTTTCTCTGAAAGTATAATGTCAAGACGAGGCCTGTAACGTACTGATTCATATTACCTTCATGTGCTTAAAGTATTGATGAAGTTAAAAACTTTCTTGTTAGCAAGGCTGTGTTTTAAGGCATAGAAAACATGCTTATAAATAACTGCATGCATATTATGTCCTTTTCTATAGGTTAAGTGACCCATGTTCAAGTCGATGGGATGAAAGAAGCCTGTCCCAGAGATCCCGATCATGGTCCTACAATGGATATTATTCAGACCTTAGTACAGCAAGACACTCAGATGGTCACCATAAAAAGCGCAGGAAAGAGAAAAAGCTTAAGCATAAAAAGAAAGGTAAAAAGCAGAAACACTGCAGAAGACACAAACAGACCAAGAAAAGAAGGACTGTTGCATTGTCTGACATAGAATCCTCAAAATCTTCCACTCAGAGAATGAAATCCTCTTGTGATAGAGAAAGGAGCTCTCGGTCCTCCTCGTTATCGTCTCATCATTCATCAAAGAGGGACTGGTCTAAATCTGATAAAGATATCCCGAGCTCTTTAACCCATTCCAGCAGAGACTCGTATAGATCAAAATCTCACTCACGGTCTTTTTCTAGAGGAAGCTCAAGGTCAAGAACTGCATCAAAGTCCTCATCACATTCTCGAAGTAGATCAAAGTCTAGGTCTAGTTCTAAGTCTGGGCACCAAAGGACAGCATCAAAATCACCAGTGAGGACAGCTTCTCAGTTAAATGAAAATAAACCAGTTAAGTCAGAACCTTTAAGAGCAACAGTGCCACAAAATGAAAACGTAGTAGTACAACCAGTGGTAGCAGAAAATATTCCTGTAATACCATTGAGTGACAGTCCCCCCCCTTCAAGGTGGAAGCCTGGCCAGAAACCTTGGAAACCTTCTTATGAGCGAATTCAGGAAATGAAAGCTAAAACGACCCATTTGCTGCCCATCCAAAGCACTTACAGTTTAGCAAATATTAAAGAGACTGGTAGTTCATTGTCCTATCATAAAAGAGAAAAAAATTCAGAAAGTGATCGGAGTGCTTATTCAAAATACAGTGATAGAAGTTCAGAAAGTTCACCAAGGTCAAGGAGCAGATCTTCTAGGAGTAGATCTTATTCCAGATCATATACAAGATCACGTAGTCTGGCTAGTTCACATTTAAGGTCTAGGTCTCCATCATCTAGATCTCATTCACGAAATAAATACAGTGATCATTCACAGTGTAGTAGATCATCTTCATACACTTCTGTTAGCAGTGATGATGGAAGACAATCCAAGAGGAAACTTAGATCCAGTAGGAAAAAAAATAGTGCTTCAAATAAAAGGCACAGCAGCAGCTCCGAAAAGATGCTTCGCAGTAAATATGCAAAAGGCAGAAGCAGGTCTTCCTGTCAGAGGAAGTATAGTGAGAGCAGGTCGTCTTTAGATTATTCTTCAGACAGTGAGCAGTCAAATGTTCAGGCTACACAGTCTGCCCAGGAAAAAGAGAAGCAGGGCCAGATGGAAAGAGCAAATGATAAACAAGAAAAAAACAGAAAAGAGAAATCCAAGCCTGAACGGGAATGTCAACATTCAAAAAAAAGAACTTTGAAAGAGAATCTTTCTGATCACTTCAGACATGGCAGTAAGCCCAAAAGAAAGAATTATGCTGAGAGTAAATGGGACTCTGAATCAAATTCAGAACAAGAGGTAACTAAAAACAGTAAAAATGATTCCCAACCATCCTCTGACAAGGAAGAAGGTGAGGCCACATCGGATTCTGAATCAGAGGTTAGTGAAATTCACATCAAAGTCAGACCCACAACAAAACTGTCAGCAAGTACCTCACTGCCTGAGGATAATGGTGTTTGGAAATCAAGCAGACAATGTTCATCAACTTCTGATTCTGAGGGGTCCTATTCCAATTCCGAAAACCACCGAAGAAAGCCACAGAAGCACAAACATCGTGGGTCTAAGGAAAACATTAAAAGGGAACACACCAAAAAAGTGAAAGAGAAATTGAAAGGGAAAAAAGACAAAAAGCACAAGGTTCCCAAACGAAAACAAGCATTTCACTGGCAGCCTCCACTAGAATTTGGTGAAGAGGAGGAGGAGGAGATTGATGAAAAGCAAGTTACTCGGGAGTCAAAAGAGAAAAAAGTTTCTGAAAATGGTGAAAACATAAAAGATAATATTCTAAAACCTGAGAAGTCCTGTGAAGAGGGCAACCTTTCAGGAAAACATCCTACAGTGACTATTTCATCAGATCATGATCAGGTTACTAAAGATAATAGTAAACTCAGTGTTTCTCCCACAGCTGTAAATACTGAGGAAAATGTTGCCATTTCTCCTCAAAACATTCAGCATACTGAAGAAAGTGTAGTGGAGGATGTGCTTCAAACAGATGACAACATGGAGATTTGTACTCCTGATAGGAGTTCTCCAGCAAAGGTAGAAGGAGCTTCCCCTCCAGGAAATTCACAGCTTGACACTCCAGATAGAAGCATTGTTCTGAAGCAGGATATGCAAACTGAGCATCCTGAAGCAGGGACAGTAAAACAGGAAAGCAGAATGTCTGAAAGCAAAGTGGTAAGTGAAGTAGGAAAGCAGGATGGCAGCTCTGCTAGCTCAGCTAGTGCTGGAGAAAGTACTGGGAAGCAGGAGGTGGCTGAGAAGAGCCAGATCAGCCTCATGAATAAGAAATGGAAGCCTCTACAAGGTGTGGGGAACCTGGCAGCACCTACTACTACTACGTCCAGTGCTGTGGAAGCTAAGGCTTTGACCACTGTGTCTGAAATGAAACCACAAGGCTTGAGAATAGAAATTAAAAGCAAAAATAAGGTTCGGCCTGGGTCTCTCTTTGATGAAGTAAGAAAGACAGCACGCTTAAACCGGAGACCAAGAAATCAGGAGAGTTCAAGTGATGAACAGACACCCAGTCGGGATGGTGATAGCCAGTCTAGGAGTCCAAGTAGATCTCGAAGTAAATCTGAAACCAAATCAAGACACAGAACAAGGTCTGTCTCCTATAGTCACTCAAGAAGTCGATCAAGAAGTTCTACATCTTCTTATCGGTGAGCAGTATTCTCTTTCCTTTTTTTCTCCCAGGGAGAGTCTGTTATTATTTAGTTTGGGAGAATATCAGAATTAGGGACAGGATCACTGTTTCCAAATATACGAGAGGAAATAAGAAGACTTGTGTGTGACTCAGAGCAGATTGAGAACAGGGAGTGGGAATTTCAGGAAAAGAAATTTGGTCTCAGTTTTAAAAACTCCATTAAAACTCAGTTTTAAAAACTCCATTAAAACTCAGTTTTAAAAGCTCTTTAGCAGTAGACATGAGTTGCCATGATAGGTGGTGAGTTCTCCCTCTTTTTAAGGTAAGAGGCTGCTCCCTTGCAAGTTAGTGATGTCTCAGAAAGGAATCCTGAATTGATGGAATATGTAGGGTTTACAGATCATTAATCTAACTTCCATTTTATACATGTGGAAAGTGATAGCCAGAGAGGCAAAGTTACCTGCCCAAGACATGTATCTGGTTGATATATATTTAGATTTTTGTTCAAATTGCATCTGATTTTCTCGTCAACATAGAATGAATAGTACAGAAATGAGAATTAGAAACTAAAAAAAAGTAGTGATGGTGATATGAAGTTTGTAAGTAGTTGTGCTGCATTCTTTTCTTTCCCTTGTAAATATTTTATGGTTTTACCTGTCTCTTTATTACTAATATCTCTTACTATATGGTGCTTGACTTTCATCATTTGAACTGAAAATACTGTAAGAATCTTTGACCATATTTTCCTTTCTAGCTATTCATCTGTCTTTTTCTTGCCTTGCTCATCCAGACTTCTTAAAAACAGAACGGCCACTTGCCATCTATAAGTACTATCTCCCATTTGGTCCTCCATGGTGTGTTTGCTGTCTTCTGTGTTTTCCCTTTTCCACCTCACTAAACCAAGGCTTTCAGGTACTTCTGCAGGACCAGTGCTGGGGCATGTTTTTAGCCCCCACCTTCTGGAAGCTCTCTGCTAACTCTCCTCATCCCTCACAGACCACTCCATCTCTGTGTCATAGGCACCCCTTTTCCCCTCCTGGCCTTTTCTCTCTGAGTTCTATTGGTAGACGCAGATGGCTACTGAGCCACTCCAGCTTCCTATCTACTCACAGTCTGCCTTACCGTTCACATAGAAACAGCTCTGAGTAGTTGATAATGCTGGCCACTCTCCTCTTTTACCTTCCTACTACCTCCTTGGAGTGGGTGGTGTTTCATTTCATAAATGAAGACAGTGAGGCATAGAAAGGCTAAAGATTTTGCTCTGGGTTATGCAGCTAACAGGCAGTAGACTGAGATGGATAAGCCTGAGCACTCCTCCTGTTTTGGTTACCTGCCTGGGCCTGACTTCTACACTAGGCTGTGAACTCCTTGAAGTCTGTGTCTTATTCATCTTTCAGTCACCTCACAGGGTCTGACTTACAATTTTTGGTTGAATAAATGACTGGAATTTCATTTTTCTTACAGATAAACTGGAAGCAGGTCATGTCTTCCAAAACATAAGGGCATACTGAATAAAGCCTATGGTGGTATTACATAAGTAGCCTATACACAGAGGGATTGTTGTATTCCTGAATGACAGGTTTAAAGTAGGGGAAGAAGGGTGGGAAGCCAGGTAAGTGTAGAGGAGCAGAATCGTGCTACTTGGGTTTTTTGTTTTATTAAATATTACATAGGTATTAAAAGGTACAAATTACATAGGTACAAATGATTAAAGTATAAAAAAAGTAATGAATACTGATGTACCTATGCTCATCTAGCTTAAAACGTAGAACTTTGATGTACCGACGCCACCCACTTTTTCTTCTTTCCCAGAGTTAACCATTATTCTGAACTTCTCTTATAATTTTATTGTTATTCTTCATAGTTTTGCCACAGATGTTTCTATCCCTATACAATGTTAATTTTGCACGTGTTATAAATAAAATACTTATATATGTTCTTCATTTGCCTTTTTTACTCAACAGTATGTTCCAGAGATAGATCTTTGCTGATACATATAGCTGTAGTTCATTCTTCTTCTGCTTTTAGAATCTTTCATTAGGTGCCTGTGCCTTCATTTATTTTTAAATTCATTCTACCATTAATGGAGATAGGAATTATTTTCCTTTTTGGTATTCAAATGGGAATCCTATGAACATACTTGAACCAACTTTTTCTGTTATTTTATTTTATTTTATTTTATTCTGTATGATTTAAACCATAGTTGTTTCTGGATTGCCTCATTAGCCGTCACTGTCAAATTGACTGTGAGGAGTTTGCAAGAAACCTTTCCTCTTTCCTCTTGTGTTTTCCCCTTCCTGCCCTACCACTAATTAATTTTAATACCATGGTGAATTAACATAATTATATGTTTTTTCACTCTTTTAATTGTAGATCAAGAAGCTACTCTAGAAGTAGGAGCAGAGGATGGTACAGCAGAGGCCGAACCAGAAGCCGAAGCAGTTCCTACCGTAGTTACAAAAGTCACAGGTGAGCTTGTGGTCTTGCCCTGCAGTGTGGGCTCGATCTTGCCCATTTTTAAAGAACTGCGGAGGCTGAGCGGGTAGCTGTTGAGAAGAATCCTGTCACTGCTGAATACCAGACTGGCCTAGTTTCTGATCTAACTCTTTCAAAGAGCTGTGGAATTCTTTCTGGTTACTCCTAGGATGGGATCTTATAGTGAGGCAAAGGAAGCAGTAGAAATATGTAAAAGAGGCCCTCACCACTATCTTTATCTTCTCTACATACATCTTCCTTAACCTGAGCTCACATCTGCAGTCACCTCTTGACACAAGTTAGAGGTTGGGATAGGGGGGTTTTAGAGAAGGGACCAAGTAGAAGAAGTATGTGGTGGGGGGAGATTTCTAGTTCTCCTAGATTTTTTTCCCCTCTTTTGCCTCTGAGGTATTTTCCACTGCTGCAGCTTCACTTTACTTGCAAGTGTCTTCCCTGTGAGACCTTTCCCCTTCCCTGCCCAGTTTAGAGCCTCCCTAGTGACTTACTTTATGTACATCTGAGAGGAACTGCATAAAATTTCATTTTTCTTCTCAAATCTGTTAGGTTAAAAAAAATATTCCATATACTTTTGATATGAAAACAAAACAAATGTAGCTATGGGATTTCACTGTGTTTTCACCTTGATGAGCAAATACGTGTCTAGATATTTGGTGTAGCTTGTCCTACCCTGATCTATAAGATGATGACCCTTCGTGTGATTAATATTAGGACGTCCAGCAGGAGCAGATCCAGGAGCAGCTCATATGATCCCCACAGTCGGTCCAGGTATGAACAGGGATTGGGAAACCACCTGTGGGGCAGAATTCAGAGACCTTGTTTTATAAACTCTCAGTTCAAAATGTATTTTACTGAACAACTTATTTGTCTAAATGAGGTCTTTTTGGACAATTTTTATCTATTGACCCATTGTACTTCAGTGTCACAAATGACAGTTGGCCAGGCACAGTGGTTCTCGCCTATAATCCCAGCATTTTGGGAAGCAAGGCAAGAGGATTGGTTGAGACCAGCCTGGGCAACATAGCAAGATCTTCTCTCTACAAAAAAAACCCAAGAAATTAGCTGGGCATGGTAGCAGTCTCTCTACTTGGGAGACTAAGGTGGAAGGATTATCTGAGCCCAGGAGGTTGAGGCTGCGGTGAACTGTGATCGTGTCACTGCTCTCACTGCTCTAATGTCACATTGCAGTGGCAGGTGTTTACTGAATTTAATTGCCTAATGAGATCCACCAGATTAAATCAAACTGACTCGTTGTTAATTTTGTTATATTTTTCAATGCAGAAAAGAAATTAACATTTTTCTCTTTCATATGGTAAGTCTTACTTGGGGCAATTGTTAAACTTTTCCAGTTTAGCTGTCATACAGTGTTCATATTCTAAACTAGAACACTCTTAAGATTCTAAAAAGAAATGTGAAGATACGTATATTTGGATGGGAAAAGTTAGTGTGTGTTGTTGCTGTTAAAGCAGGTCCTACACTTACGACAGCTACTATAGCAGGAGTCGGAGTCGAAGTAGAAGCCAAAGGAGTGATAGTTACCATCGAGGCAGAAGTTACAATCGCCGGTCCAGGTGGGTCTCTCTCCTTGAGTGCACTGCAGGTCACTCTACATTGGGTGTGTGAGGTGACGGGCTGCTAGCGGAAGAAAAAATATAACCTTGCAGGGACAGGAGCACTTTTTCCTCTTCTTGAATCTCAGTTACCCACAAGCAGCTACTAAAAGTGGCCTTCATATTAAGAGTTGCCAATTAATATTTGTTGGTTATTGTTTATGTTTGAATAATGGGTTTTTAAATGTTCACGAGTCCTTGGACCATCCTTTCTGGAAGGAGTAAAGAGAGAAGGCCACCCAAACCATGTTCCATTTGCTTAAATAGAGCCACTTGCTAGAAATAACCGATTTGTCTTTTTTTGAAATAAAAAAATGTAATAAATGGAATGTCATAATCATTTGCTTCAGCAGCAGGATTGAGGTTTATATCTTGTCAATTATTTCATGGAATATATATTTTTATGTATTATGTAAGTTTTAGATAACATTTTGGCTACTGCAGAAGTCTTTATAATGACTTTTCCAGTGTCCCTTTCTGGTGGCTTTTGACCTTCCCTCCCCCATCCATTGCAACTACAGTGATCCTTGTAAAATAGCAGTATGGTCTGGAATACTCCCTTACTTGAAACTCTTCAAGAACTCCCTACTGCTTTTAAGGTCAGGTCCAGCCTCCTTAGCACTGCATGCAAAACCCCTCTACCTACACTCGCCAGGTTCAACTGGGACTCTTTCTGGCCTCCCTCCTTTAAAGTGCTAGAACCTTTCCTTCCGCCTAGAAACATATATGCCTTCTCCACTATCTCCCCTTTTGCCTCTTGAAATGACCAGTTCCCATCTACCCTGTTTGTCACCACTATAACCTATTGCCCCCCATGCAGTCCTCCCTGACGACTAATCATGAGATGCAATCACTCCTTTGTGCCTCTGAGACAGCCTTTGCTCCTACTGGGCTCTCGTTGCTCCTACCTTATTTGTCTTGCCCACTTTTCTTGAGCCCCAGAGAACTATACTTGGTCTTCTTTTTTTTGTAGGGGCGAGTCATAGCATCTAGCAAAATGACTGGCTGTCAGTGAATATTTTTCAAAATAACTGAATTGTAACCATAATCTGGTTCTCTTGACTCAGTATCCCAGTGGTCCTATTCATGCCCAGACCCACTCCCACCCCTCATTGGACCCCTATTTTGGTTTCCATGCTTTTATTTAAATTTTTTTTTCTTTTCATAAAATCCAGCTCCTGCAAGACATATCTCTGATGAAACTAGTCATCCACCTTTTCCCCATTATTTCTTCAGACAATCTAATCATGTTGATGTTCATTTTGGGTAACATGGAAAATTATTTTGCTTATTTGCATGAATGAATTCTAAGTACATTTCCAAAGATGTGATGTTTTGTTATCTTAACCATGATATTAATATGTCATTTTAAACATCTTTGAAGAGTCCATACTGATGCCATAGTCAGTATTCTTTTTGTCCACCTTCTGTGCTTTCCACATCAAGTGTTTTCAAGCCACTCAAATCAAAATAGAAGCTACAAGAGGAATTCAGAGAGTTGACAGTTTAAAAGCCAATTCTTTTGACTCTATTTTGTTTTGTTTTGTTATACAGGAGTTGTAGATCTTATGGCTCTGACAGTGAAAGTGACCGAAGTTACTCTCATCACCGGAGCCCCAGTGAGAGCAGCAGATATAGTTGAAGACACCATTTTTTGATATGAATGATACCTTATTTGTAAATATCTGGTAACTTAAAAGTTTAAGAAACTTAATGGCAATCTTTTGTTCTATTTCAATATTAGAGATGAATTTCAAAGATAGGCATTTCTTAATTGTTATTCATTTACATGTGCGCAGAAGAATCTAAAATACAGATATATCTCCTAAAAATATTTTTATGCCACATTTTACAGTAGCCAACTATGGAAATGAATTTCATTTTCTTGAATCAAGAAATCATGAAATTTATCTAAGTATAATCTGCAATATTATTTTAGGACTATTTCTCTCCATCACACGTATTCCTTAGAATACAGATTCTTTTTTCCTGTTTTTCTGGGTTTAGCATATATACTGCCAAGTGTAGAACTGTGAAGAAGAACTGTTAAAGGCGGCCAAATATTTATATACTGATCACAGAGTCTTGTACATATGTGTTCTAAAAACAAACTACCCAGAATTGATACTGTTGGTAGCCAGGAGTATAAGGCAGTGGCTCTGGAGTTCTTAATGCATTCCTTTCTTCCTTTGCTGTTTCAGAGGATCAGGAAAGTGGTCATCAGATAACCCACACAGGCTGTATTACCTCAGGCTGGTGGGCAAGGTTCAGAAGAGTAAATCAGCCTTAACTATAAATACCTGCACTGTCTCACAGGACTGAATGCTTTATGTTCTTTCTAATGAATACTATCAGAAGTTTAGATTATAAAAAACAATTCTATTCTAGTTCATGCTTTGGTGCTTAGTACCTTTTGGTGCTTCTTAAAGCATTATTCTTATATACCATACATTAGAATACCATAACACAGAAAAATGAACAAAATGTTTTAAATAACTGGCACCAAAAATGGTTTCTTCTGTACTGTCATCATTTTGAATATTTGGGGGACTTCTCTCAAGCACAGGTTGGGGTCCCCTGGAGCAGGCAGGTTTGGCAGTCGGAGGTGTGTGGCCACCCAGGTTTACTGCATGTGTGTGCCTCTGGACAATGGATTAAAGAATGGACTTCAAAAATAACTTTAAAATCTAACTGCCACCATCCTGGAAACATTTTGCAGGGCTTTCTTTAAGTCTTTCAAGTAAGGGATATACCACAACAGCAGCTGGACTATGTTCTAACCAGCATGGTTTTCCTATTTCTGCTATGACCTATGCTGGCTTAGTGAAACCTTGCATGACCTGAGTAAACCCAGGACAAGAAACAAGGGAAGCAGGGTGGGGATACTGCATAAATTAAACATTTTCATGGCTTTGGGTGGTTCCTCCAAAAATAATTTAACCTGTAAAAACAGTTTGGGTTTGTTTTTGTTTTTTAATCTTTGAGTTTTTTTCCCCAAGTGTACTTAATCACCTTAGTGCCAGTATAATCCAGTTATGCAGAAGAAATTCATATGGCATGTTTGGTGTAGAACTCTTCTGCACTATCCTACTCCAGGTCCTATCTGGTATATTTGAGAAGTGGGAAAGAGCCCCCATGTGGAGGAATCTGACAACCCTTGATGGATGCAGGAGTGACCTTGGATGTATTAAAACTATCACCTATAGAGCATATGAAAACAAGGTTAGGTGGTCAGTTGTTTGCCAAGTTGATAGGTAAAAAGTACATTGAAAAACAAGACTTAAGTCAAAAAAAACTTGATAATGAATATAGAATGATATGTAATTCATATTAAGGGATTTCAAAGGTTGCCTGTAATGGAGAATATTAGTACTACTCAGTGGCAAAAAAAGGCATTCAGAACTTAAACAGAAACTGCCAAATCTAATTAGGTTAAGAAAAGTTACCCTTGGGCAGCGTATTAGTTTTCTATTGTTGTGTGACAAATTACCCCAAATTTAGCAGCTTAAAACAACACCCATTTATCAGTTCACAGTTCTGTAGCTCATGGGGTCCAGCACTGTATGACTGGATTCTCTGCTCAGGGTCTCACAAGACTGAAATCAAGGGTTGGCAGGGCAACATTCCTTCATGGAGGCTCTAGGGAAGAATCTGCTTCTAGGCTCATTTAAGTTGTTGGCAGAATGCAGGTCCTTCCTGGCTCTCAGCCATGTGTCTCTCAGCTCTTTAAGGCTGCCTGCATTCCTTCTTGTGTGGTCCCTTCCATCTTCAAACCAACCTTCAAATCCTGGTTTCTCATGCTTCAAATCTTTCTACCTTCCTTCTCTGTTTTGGGTCCCTATGATTAACTGAAACCCAGAGAGGTTGATTGTGCCATAGAACATAAAAATCACAGGAGTGGTATCACAACTCATCACATTAATAGCATCTGGGGATTCGCTCATGAAATGGGGAGGACATTTCCAAATTCTGCCTATCACAGGCAATAAGTGTGCCCATCTCTGCTGCAGGTGGAATTTTTTTTTTTTTGAGTTGGAGTCTCACTCTGTCACCCAGACTGGAGTGCAGTGGCTGCTCCCGGCCACCGCAGCCTCGACTCTGGGCTCCGACAATCCTTCCGCCTCAGCCGTCCAAGTAGCTGGAACTACAGGCACGCGCTACTACACCCAGCTTATTTTGATTTATTGTAGAGATGAGATCTCGCCAAGTTGCCCAGGCGGGTCGCGAACCCGTGGGCTCAGGCAATCCACTCACCTCAACCTCCCAAAGGCGCGGGATTACAGGCTGAGCCACCGAACCCGGCTTGCAGGTGGAATTTTATCCTGAAAAGATAGGCCCTAGATGCCGCATTTTTTTATCCGTGGAAAAGGATAGCCCTCTGCTGCATTGTTCAACTTGTATGTTTACTGAAGTGAGCTACAGAAATAGCTTTTCTTCCTAAAGGGGATTGTTCTGTATTTTGAAGTTATTTTTTTAATAAAATTGAATTATGTTGTGTATTGTGCTTCTTAATAGAAAATGCATTATTGGACTGTTTTTGTAACGTCCTGTTTACTGCAAATGAAATAGCTAGTAATGTTCAGAAAACTCTAGAAAATACTTTTGTACATATTAGCAATGTCTAATTTGTATACACTTAATTTCCCTAAAACTTGAAAGAGGGGACCTTGTAGAAATTAAAATATATACTTAGTCTAAGTCTGAGTCTGTGTATGTTTCATCTTTCTTTATTTCCCCCAGACTTCAGATAGTCTTTCTGAAACAGAAAATAAAACATTGCATCTCTGCTGACTGCACCAGCAAGGAGGCCTCGTCTCTCTTGGCAGCTCATTTTTTTCTGCTCCTAGCTGAGTGTTAGCAGTGTGCAGAGGGTGCAGCTGGAGAGAACCAGGCAGAGACGTAAACCTACCCAGAGAAGCATTGATGGTGCATGGTCTTCCTCCCCATTAGAAACTCCAGATTTTCTCCAGGCTCTGTTTTTGTCATCGAGTCAAAGTGACTGGCGTCAAGAGGTCTCTGTGAGGAAGGGACATGTCCCAGCCTGTCTCTACGTTGCTGCCTAGGGGCAGTCCATTTACCTTCGACCTCCACATTGCCCTTCTAGGGCACACATCGCTTACTCCCAGAGAAAACGTTTGTGGTGATATGTTTAGCAGACACATGAGAATTTGCAGTGGAAGTACAATTAACTTTTGTCTCCTCAGAACTCAAAGGAACATGTGTTTTGTTTTGTTTTGTTTTTTGAGTTGGAGTCTCACTCTGTCGCCCAGACTAGAGTGCAGTGGCCGCTCCTGGCCACCACAGCCTTGACCTGCTGGGCTCCGGCGATCCTTCCACCTCAGCCTTCCAAGTAGCTGAAACTACAGGCGCGTGCTACCACACCCAGCTAATTTTTGATTTATTGTAGAGATGAGGTTTCACCAAGTTGCCCAGGTGGGTCACGAACCCGTGGGCTCAGGTAATCCACTCACCTCAGCCTCCCAAAGGCGCGGGATTACAGGCTGAGCCACCGAGCCTGGCTGAACATGTGTTTTCTTAGTGAATACAACACAACTTCTCATTGTAGATTACTTCCCACTTGCAGATATTCAGTTTTCTAAATTGAGCTAGCAGTGGGTTTCTAAGTTGTTCAGCTCCTAAAATTGATCAAATCTGGATGTGTTACTTTAAATTTTAAAGAAAATGCAGGATCTTGGGGAAGTCCCCTAATGAGGTTCCTTGTCTTTTTTTTTTTTTTTTTAAAGATTGGGAACTATATTTAGAAAGTAAATTAGAGAGAGGAGATTCACCTCCCCAAGGTAGGGGAGGGGGCCAAAGCTAAGAAAACATGACCTGGCCAGTGCTTAACAAAACAATGACTCCTTGCCTTATTATTTTAGTGAGTTCTAGAATCCTTGTTCAAATTCTGATAATGGTAAGCGTGGACAGTTGGGTGAATTGGGAGGAAAATGTGTCAAGGACTTTGGTCTTGACTTGTGAATGAGTTGGGCATTAAACAGGGAAGAGGATTGAAGGAAAGTGCCCCTCTTGCAGGAGATTATCGACACTGAGTATCACTCTGGAAGAGAAAAGAGGCTCTACTCAATGTTATAAGCCCAGCAATGGGTGTTCAGCCTTGAAGGAATGTTACAAGCTAGTGTGACCAGGTGGGAGGGCTTGGAAGCCATGCCTCACAAGGGGGGAGGCTGTGGGTTTAGCTTTCTAAAGGACTGATTGTTAGAAGAGGGAATCAACTCTGCTGCTCTGTGAGAGGCACGGGCCTGCAGGCCCATGAGAACCTCATGATAGAATGGGTTGGGAAGAGGACTTGTACTGGGCAGGGAGAATTCCTGGAAGCTGTTGGCTGCAACCTCTCAGGAGTCAGAGGTGTCAGGACGTGGAGAGGGAACCCTGAGAGGAGAACTGGTCACTTCAGGACTTGACAAGGCAAGGTAAGCCAGCCATGGCCATATACAGGTAGGAGGCTTTCGTTGTTGATTCTTCTTCGAAATTTCATTACAAGGTAGAGACAGTGCTCCCTTGCTGCTGCCTCTCCTCCTTCCTGTGAATCAGAAGGCCGAGTTTGGAACCAGGAACAAGCATTTCTGCCTCTTGGAGAGTCCAGACCCACCTCTCACTGCTGCTCAGCAAGCTGCAGTTCCACAGACTGAGCTGCACCCACAACCTGCAGAGCCCAGGCTGGCCTGGATAGGGTTCATCTCTAGCTCAAAGCCATGAGGACATCAGGGAAAAAAATAAGTGTGACCTGAGGACTCAGGACAAACACTTACATTCTGCATCTTGAGCCCTAACCCCGGACCTCCAATAGCCCATAAGCCCAAATGAGGATGCATGTGACAGGTGCAGCCAGACATGATAGACAGCCAAGGGTGCTCATCCCTTCTCAGACCAGCCTGCAGATGAGTCTGCCTCCCAGAGGGCCTGGCCCACAGGGGCCAGCACTTCACCAACCCCAGGTCACCCCAGGCCGCTAGCAGTTAAAATTTACCCCCAGGTCGAATACCCAGAGAAAGAATGAGAAGGGTCCCCACTGACCTCAATGCCTCTAGCTTAATTTTATTTAATTTTAAAGAAATAGGACCTCTGTGAGCAGCTGTTCTATAGCATGATCCTTAAGGACTCTGGGCCAGAACCAGAACACGGTTCAGGTTCTACTCTGCCACTTCCCAGGTGACTGGGAGAAGGACAATTTGACCTCTCTAATTCAGCTCCTCATTTGAAAAACTGGGAGGCTAGGGACTCCCTACTCCTAGAACTGTGGTGGATTCAATGCTTAGAACCAAGCACACAGCAAAGTGCCTCAGGGGTGGTGGCCCCTGGACCTTGTCCCTAGGAGGAGTGCAGGAGTCCCACAGGGTTCACGTGGAGGCCCAGGGTCCCTTGAGCCCACAGGCAGGAGAGGATTCTAGAAGCTGCCAGGGAGGCCTCGAATGCCAAGGCCATGATGTTTATGCTGTGAGGAAACCAGGCAACTTGCTGGTTTGCATTAGGCCCTCAGCCCTGGGCAGCTGTAGCCTATTAGTACTGGGCTCTGCTGAGGCAGAGCTCAGGCAAAACCCCCACCCTCACCCCACTCAACCCCACATCCGCAGATCCACGTTCCCCCACACCGCAGGGCCCTGGGTCAGCACCTCGCAGGCAGCTTTGAATTTCCTTGGCAACCCACCAGCCCCACACTACGCAAGTGGAGTCGCCCTGTGTTTTCTGGCATTGCCCGCTGTGCTCTTCCTCCTCCAGCTCAACTACACACAGCTCCATACCCCCTGGGGAGGCTGAGCCCTGCGTTGCTCCCAGCACACACAACCATGCTGCTCAGATATATGTTGTTCCCAAAGCGGGTACCTGTGCGTGCTCACATACACACATTGCTCCCAAAACACACGCACACACATGGCCTATGCTCTTTCCAGGTTCAGTAGGACTGAATGAAATTCCCCAGGTCCGTGAATCCTCCCTGCCATGAGAGAGGTTCTTGGGGAAGTTGTGAGAAACCCATGAAGTGTCTTCGAGAGGCAGGGCCATGGCCTTACTGACTGCCAGCACCCAGTCCCGAATCTGAAGTTTCACTGAGCTCTGCCTTTGCAGGGTGAACGTCTCTAGACTCCTGGGGCATGCAGCTCTGGCCTAAGGATCGACCTCCCCACTAACTCAGTCCTACCCTGCCCCCTCCAAGAAGCTTGCCCCGACCTCCCCTGAGGTGAAGCTCCTGCTTCGTCCTTCACCAAGGCCAAGAGAGCGATCCTGCCCCTGCCTGGCTCCGTCAGACCTGACATTCCCATCTGAAAAGAATCGTGGCTCTACTCTACCAAATACTCCCACCCCACTTCCCCTGCAGGTGCTAGCTGTCTCCGCCTCCTGGCCTTTGCAGGGACTCTGCCTGGAGGGCCCCGCCAACCTGTTTGCTTTAGTTAGTGCTAACGGTCATGCCTCTGTCACGCCTCAGCTCCAAGCAGCCTCATTTGGGCCCACTAGGCTGAACTCTTCAAACAGCCGCTCCCTGCCAGGTCTGATGTGACCTGGTGCCCTCAGCTCTCACAGGGCGTAGGCTCTGCTCTGGGGCTTTCCAGCAAATGAGCTTAAGGCCAGGGAAGCAAGGGAGGAGAAGCTGGGGCCTTTAGGGAGACTGAGTCCCCTTCCACTCCCTCCTCACCCAACCTCCAGCTCTTACTCCAGCTTGACTGTTGCACCCAAGGCCATTTCCAGCGGAGCCAGCATCACTACCTTGGTCACACTGGCTACACCCTCTGCCAAGTTTTGACTTGCTAGTGGACTGAGCAGTGTCCCATACAGCCCTCTCTGCCAGGCTGTGGGGTGGGTGGAGTGGGGAGAAGAACTCCTCTCCCAGCCTCCCTTTCCCCTGGCTCCTGAGGCTGATGCCTGACTGACTGATGTGTCACTTTCTGGGTCTCAGAGTCCTTATCCAACCAACGGGCACACAGTTCCTCTCTTACTACCTCCGGGCCGTGCAAGGATCTACTGTGAGTCAGATGAGGAAGTGCACTGGGAGGAAGAGGCAGAAGGCAGCCCTGAGGTGACTAGCTGGTCAGAGGCATGTAAGTGCTCTGGCCTGGTCCCAGCCTGGGGCCTCTGGGAGCTGGGCCAGCTGTCTATGCACCCATGCAGGTGCAGGATGTCTGCAGCAGCTGCCGGGAGCCTCCCAGATGCCCCAGCTCTGGGGGCATGTACCAGTCCGTGCCCCTTCCTCTCTGTCCCATCTTTTCCATCGAGGTCTCACCTCACTCTCCATCTGGCTCTGTGCGTTCTTCCCCTTACCCCTGATACTCTGTTCACACCACCTCTGGCCCTGGGACATTTTTCTCTCAGGCTCTGGGATAGCCTTGTCTTGAGGGCCTCCCCATTTTGGCTGGGGAAGGTAGGGTGAGCAGGGGTGGAGGCCTCTGCCGCCATACGGACAATCTGACTGTTGCAGGGCACCTGCCTAAGACCCTGGCCTCTACTCCATTTCCTCTCCTGGCACCCAGAACCAAGTCACCCTGAGCAAGTCCTGGAGATCCTGCCCATTCATGAGTAAGGTAGCATCCCCAGAAGACTCTGCTGCAGCTGGGCCTGGACTTGTATGAAAACACAAGTGCTCGTGTGTGGAGAGGGGTGGGGGCATCAGGATGCGGGCAGTGTGAGAGTGACCCAAGAAGAGGCTGCAGTCGGCTTGCGGCAGGTGCAGAGGACACTACAGGAGCTTCTTCTCCACAATTGTGGCCCAGTCACCACCCAGACCCTGCCAGGCCCAGTGCCCCATGGTCCCCACCCCACTGCCTGCTCAGGCTGGCAGCGTTCCTTTGCAGCCTCCTGCCAACACAACCAGCCCCCTGCCCCCACGGGTGTCCATGCCAGAGCAGCATTCCGCAAGCCTGGCTGCATCTCCCCAGCAGAGGCTGAGCAGGAGGGCCACTCAGCAGCACTCAGGTCACGGCGAGGGGCACACAGGGGCCTGGGCCTCTGGCCCCCACTCCTCTGGTCCTACCATCTCCTGGTCCTGGGCCAGTCACCTTAAAGGATCTGATCTCTGCCGCTGTGGTCTGGGGCTTACAGCCTGAGGCCACCAGGTAGGTATGGGTCCACTGGAGCCAGGTCCTGGAGGCACAGATCAAAATGAGCCCAGGGCCGCCCTGGGATAGGGATGGGAGCCAGACCAGTTGGGGACCCCAGACTCATTCCCAGGTCTAAGCAGCCCAGGTCAGAGGGTAGGGGCGGTGCGAGCAGCTGGGATGGGATCGCTCAGGGGAGCGGGTGTAAACCTTGTCTGCAGGGGTTGGGGCCGGCGCGCTCCGCTTCCTGCTTTCGCCGCGGCCTCCCACCCTGGCCCCCCTCCGTGGCGCAGCTGGAGCGCACTGAGGTTGGACTCCCGGACGAACTTCCCGGCAGAAAGGAGGCTCGATGCAGGAGGGTGGGGCCGGGGTCTGTCTGCTTCGATGTGAGCCGCGGGGACGGGCCGGGGGAGCTGGCGGCCCGCGG